CACATGTCTATTGTTTATGTGAGTGTAGAGAAAAAAGAGAGAGAGAGGGAGGGAGGAAGAAAGGAAGGACTCTTTCTTATACATTATATTCTCAACCATCCAAATTTGAGATGCAATCTAACCTAGTAGATAAATAGAAAACAAAAATGTTTTTGACCCCACTGGGTATTACAAACTATGGCAAGGATAAGAGCTATCCTCTGTATTTGGAGATTTGGAGACAAGAGAACTTACACAAAGCTTATTTATCTACCAAGAACCTTGGAGTATTTTGTTAAGATTCTACTTGCTGGCTAACAATCTGAATATCCCCATTTTGCTGGCATGGTGTCCCCAAAAAAGAAACTAAAGCTGAGAATTGAATTGCTGAATGTCTCAGGGTGATTTGACAATTAATTGTAGTGATTTGGATACTAAGTTGCTATAGTTAATGATAACAGGGCATATAGGCTCTGAAAGGTACATCTGAGTTGAAAGTTTCAATACTGACCATGACCCAAAGTTGGTGAGGCTAATGTCTTTGAACACTGATATTTGAATACGTATTATACTTGAATAAAATTCAAACTTGGTGACATTTCCTTCAAAATATGACTGCAATATTATGTGACTAATACATGCTTATACGTTGGCACTAGGTTTTCAAGACATTCGAGTTCCATAGATGTTTAAGCATATTTTATACTCAATGCCAATGACCCATGGGAAAACATATCTGTGTATTAACTGCATATGAGTTCTTAACTGGGTGATTACGAGATGTAAACTTGAGTCTAAAAATTATTTCATAATAGATTACTTTGCTTATTAAACTCAGATTTTCTATATTTTGCCACAGAACAACCTAAACTTTATTTTTCTAGCATCTTGCACTGTGCCTGGCACATACTTGGTGCTCAACAAATTTTTTTATTGAATGCATAAATGGAAGGATAGTATATTTGGAGTACTATATATGCAAAGAAACAATATGTATTCCACACTAGTATCATCAGAAGCCCTCATGAAATTACTCTGATTTCTATTATAGTTTCAAGAACAGGAAAACTTTGTTGGCTTTGGTAAAGACAAAAAACTACTGCAGAGCTTGATGGCTTTTTAGTATTTGGCCCTTTTCACCAAAAAGATACACATGTTTTGGTCAAAAGCATGCATTAGTATATAAAAGACAATGCCATTATCTTAACAGGCAGAAGTTGGATTTTATTATTTTTTTATTTTTTCAAAAGATGACTGGTAAGGGGATCTTAACCCTTGACTCGTATAACTTCGTATAATGTATGCTATACGAAGTTATTACGTTTTTAAGAAGATGACCGGTAAGGGGATCTCAACCCTTGGCTTGGTGTTGTCAGCACCATGCTCTCCCAAGTGAGCTAATCGGCCATCCCTACATAGGGGTCTGAACCCTTGGCCTTGGTGTTATCAGCACCACACTCTCCCAAGTGAACGACAGGCCGCCCCTGGAAGCTGGGTTTTAAAATTCTGTCTCACACATTGTAAAATCCCTTAGCCAAACTTCTGCCAAGGCTTAATTATATTCAAAAGATTTTTGGATTTTTTTGTTTCAGCCTGCTGATATGCAAACATTGATAAGATGGCTCCATGATCTTTAGCAATGTTCTAAGGCAAAGAGATTTGTTACTTTTTATAATATAAATGATAAAATGACCATCCTCGCTAAATATAAGATTACAGGCATTTAGATGGATGAGCTTTCCCTCATAAAAAGTACACAGAAGGTACAAAAGAATCCAAATGACCTATCAGAATCATTACCAAGGCAACTACTATCTTGTGTTAAACCATGAAAAATTATAATTGGAAAAATTTCAACTGCATGTGAATCTGCCAAGAGAGAAATTTCAAAATGCTATACAAGAGGAAATTTTTGTAAGCATTCTTTACTAATTCAATTTTTCACAATTTCCATCCCTGTATTTATGGCAGATACAGATAGAAAGCTAATTTTAAAATATTTAAGGAACATTCTAGGCAGCCCTGTCCAACAGAACTTTCTGTGATGATGAAAATGTTCTATATTTGTGCTGTCCAATATGGTAGTTACTATCATATGGCGACTCGGCACTTGAAATGTGGCTAGTACAACTGAAGAAATGAACTTAAACTTAAGTGAATTCAAATTTACATTAGAAAGCCACGTGAGGCTAGTAGCTATTGAATCAAACAGCACAGCTCTAGAATATACTAACCAAAAGTACTACTGAGCATAAATGTTTCAGCAACTACAGAAATGCAAGTTGTAAAAGCAAGTGATTTTGTGATTGCTAAATAATTGCTAGAAACTAAAATAATTTCTAATGTTACAAACCTAAATATTAGTTCTTATACAAGCTTATCTTTATATTAAAATGCTTTGCACATCTTTTGTTTTAGTATTTTTTATCAACAAGAATACTGTTTAGTTATATTAATAATAAAATTATATACCTACGTATGGTTATTCAAGCTCTCTTGTGTTAAATGGAAGAACACAATGGACTTTGCATCAAGGTCTACAGTCCCCCCCGCCTTTTTTCCTCTTCTCTTCTCCCCCCCCGCCCCCTAGCTTTGATCTTTTTTTTTTTTTTTTTTTTTGGCAGCTGGCCAGTACGGGGTCCCTTCCTTTTTTAAATTAGTTAAGGCTTCTGGTCAACATGGCGGAATAGACAGTCCCCAGTGTCACTATCTCCCATAAATCAACCAATTTACAACTATTAAAAAGCAATGACAGCCAAGCTGGGGCCGCTAGAGCTCAGGGGAAGAGGAGGAGAGACCTACAGAGTGCATGAAGGCAGGAGAAGCCATGATGAGAGAAAGAAAGGACTGCTCCCACCATTTTGAGCCCCAGTGGCTTCAAGGCTGGAGCTGGTGAGCACATGCAGCAAGAGCTGGCAAGAGCCGCTGCTGTGCCCTTCCTATGAAGTTGCTTAGAGGTGGCAGGGGAGAAGAGGACCTTGGTGGTCCTCAGGCCAGCAAGAATACTAACAGGATTCCTGTGGACCCACACAGGAGTGAGGAGCCACAAGAACTGAAAAAAGGAGCCACTCAGAGGCTACTGAGTCATGGCAAGGGACTAGCGCAGAGCCCATCCCATGGGAAGTGTTTGGAGTGTGGGTGGTGAGGGAGATGGGCCCACCAGGGGAACACTTAGGAACAGCAAGGACAGCTGATCTGCCCTCCAATCAGCACAGGACCACTCTGTGTAGACTAGTCAGGAATATAGACCTGCAGGGGGAGCAGTTTGCTAAAAAGACTCAGGCCCAGACCAGAGATTCCACACATCCCAGGTGTAATGGAATTCACAAGACCTGGAAGTCAACCAAAAAGCCTTCCCCAGGGAATCAGCAGCAAGGCAGCAATTTAGCTCAACCACAGAGCTCAAGTGCTGGTCCCGACAGCAAGTTCCCCCATTTTATTTTATTTAATTTATTTATTTATTTATTTATTTTTTAAAAAGATGACCGGTAAGGGGATCTCAACCCTTAACTTGGTGTTGTCAGCACCACGCTCAGCTAGTGAGCTAACCGGCCATCCCTATATAGGATCCGAACCCGGGGCCTTGGTGTTATCAGCACCACATTCTCCCGAGTGAGCCACGGGCCGGCCCATTCCCCCATTTTAGAAGTAAGCAAAGGACAACAAATTAGTTCCAGTGCAGAGTTTAAGTAGTGAAAACAGCGAATAATCCAACACAAAACTGAAAGAAAAAACAAAGTACCCACAGACAAGAGACAAAGTTTGACATTAACTAGTAAAAGTCTCACTTCACTGAAGAACACCTATAAAACCTAGAAGGACTGGAAGGCCCCTGGGCCCCCAAGCCAGGGAAGAGGGAGGGCCAGGAGCCTCAGCCATGCCCCCCGACACCCACAACCAGTCCAGCAATGACCATCAAGCCACTGCAGGAAGTGCCCCAGGCTACTGAGCCAGGGCAGTGGGGGGACCTTGGCCATGCCCCCCTGACACCTGCAACCAGTCCAACAATGACCATTGAGCCGTCACAGGAAACACCCCAGGCTCCTGAGCTGCAGTAGGGGCCCAAGGGCTTCAGCCACACACCCCTGACATCTGCACTCAGCCCAGCAATGACCAAGACATCACTGGAAGTCCCCTGGTCTCCCCTGCAGGAATGAAGGGGAGGCCACAGGCTTCGACCATGCCCTCCATCCTTCCCCCTTCTCCCACCCTATTTCCTTCCCTCTTCCCCTCTCCCCCTCCCATCCAACTGTTCCACAACATCTTAGAATGTGAAAACAGATGGAACCAGGGACTGACCCCTCCTCCCACAACCAGGCACATCACCATTGCCAAAGGGCCCACCTGGGGTCCTAAGGCTTGGATCTGCGGACCGACCCCTCCTCCCACAACCAGGCAAGGAGCACACCCAAAACACCACTTCAAGTGGGTGGCCCACCACAGCCACCACAATAGCCATAGCTGCCACAAAAGCAGCTAGATGCCACAACCACCATACAGATGGCCCACCAACCACTCGAGTGCATTGACACAAAGAGAACCACTACGGAGACCAAAGAAAAGAAGAGAATGTCTCTCTCCACAAAGCCCATTCCAGAGTGGTAGAAGAAGCATCTACTCTACAATAATAGTAGGGGATCTGAACACACCTCTCTCAGCACTGTACAGATCATCTAAGCAACAAATCAAAAGAGTTAACCATTACTCCTTCAGAAGGAGAGAAGAAAATCAGGGTTATCAGAGGTGGGAGGCGGGAGGAAGAGGGGGAAGGGGAGAGATTGAATAAGGGGCATAAAGAATAAGTACGATCTGTAATAATATATATGCTAATAATATTGATTTGATAAACATACATCAACATTGAACCCCCAAAATATGTATAATCAGTTATGACTCAATTTAAAAAATAAAAAATGAAAAATAAATAAATAAATTAGTTAAGCCACTGACCAGGTTGCAATACCGTTCAAAAATGGCAAGAAAGGGCGTTTTATAAAGGGATTACAGGGACATAAACTTACCATGACCATTTTCCTTTGTTCATATAGCTTCTGTAATTGGTAGGACTTTTCCTCCGCTTTGATGTAACCTTTCTTCACATCATCAACAGCCTATCACCAAAACAAAGGTAGGGACGAAGGGAATGTAAAAATCATTATCGAGTGCATTGTTGATAAAAATAAAGAGACACAGATGCATTTTCAGAAAAATTCTTATCCACTTGAACCATCATCATCATCACCCATGCTCTGCCACATGGGTATATTTATTTGAATAACTAGCATTTAAAGAGTTTCTGGCAAATGCTCAAGGATTATTCTAGGTATGTGAGGGATCTGGTTTTTCATGTCAAGAGACTTAAATTCCAGTTAATTTGTAATGTGAAAACAATTAGAGCCATGAAAGACAGTATATAACATTGTATTAAAGGTAACAATGAAGTAGCAGAAATGTACAGTGCAGACTAAGTGATATACACAGTTAAGAAAAGGAGTGTTTATTGCTAATTATAGTTATCATCAGGTGGACTTCCAAAGGATAGGCTGGATAAAAGAAACTACAAGCTGAAGTCAGGAAATAGGAATGGGTTTGAGCTTAAATACATTCAGGAAACAGATTTGTCTGATTTGAATAAAGAGTACATATTAGAGGACAACGAAAGATAATGCTGAATAGGTAGGTCAACAACAGATGATGATGAATCCTAAAAAGCAGGCACAGGAAATAGTAGGGAGCTAAAATAAGCAATAAAAAATTGTTAGCTTTTTTAAAGAAAGGTTGGTTCGTATCTGAGTATCAAATTAAGTAAGCTGAAGAGAGAATGGAATAAGGGAGATTGATGACACTGTGTAACTCAAGATAGAAATCATTTCCCATAGTCTTTTATAGGAAAACAGCTAGATAACAGAATGAATTCAGGACTGAAGTCAAAAGACTAGCTCAACTTCCAGCTCCATTACCTATCAAATGTGTGCTTGAGTAAGTCACTTAAACCCTCTCAGTCTGTAAAACAGGAATAATACTCATCTCATAGACAACAAAATTAGATAACAGATGTTGAGAGTTTTGTAAAGTCTATATAAATCGTTATTTTTAGTATCACTGTTATTAGTATCATTCAGCTGTTTTTTTCCGAAGAACTGCATAAGGATATTAACGTTCTGCCAAGGACTGCCTGATGAAAAGATTATGCCAGTTTCTCCCCAATCCTGGCCATTACAAGTAAGGGCTCATTTAGGCTCAAAGGATTATATTCACAGAGGCGATGCTCAATAAGAACTGCCACACAACGTCCTGAAGAACCTGAACAATTCTCTATTTAACACCAAGGGACTGTGCTGCTCCAGGCCAAATTTAAACCAATTACTGAAAAGCTGGGGGAGAAGTAAAGAGGGAAATAAACAAATACTGGTCTGTCCAGTTTCCCCTGTAATTTAAAGTGTTATTTAGCTAAGGGGAAAAGCTTTACAATTCTTTTTCTGGTGGTCAAATAAAAATATTGTATATCTGTTTTACTGTACACCCTAAATATCTAGAACTGTTTTTGATTCATAATAGTACTTAAATATTTGGTGAACATTTCCCCAGGGCAGAGGAGGTAAGAGTGATTGTCTACTCAGTAATTCCAAGTGAACTCTTTTTTCACATAGGGCAGTAAAATGTTCTCTTCTCTTTCATTTCTAATCAAGATTATATTGCTTGACGAGCCCTAAGTGGAAAACATAAATATTACCACACTAGATTCCTTTTTTTCTTAATTTAAAATAATTTTTATTAAAGTAAAAGATGTACATAGTTTAAAAAACCAAAACCTAAAAGTCTCCTAATAAAAATAGCAGTCTCCTAGGGCCGGCCCGTGGCTCACTCGGTAGAGTGCGGTGCTGGTAACACCAAGGCCACGGGTTCGGATCCTATATAGGGATGGCCGGTTTGCTCACTGGCTGAGCGTGGTGCTGACAACACCAAGCCAAGGGTTGAGATCCCCTTACCGGTCATCTTCTTAAAAAAAAAAAAAAAAAAAAAAATAGCAGTCTCCTGATCCCAGAATCTCATTCCACAAAGACAACTACTTTTAAGCAATTTCCTTTGATATTCTTTCCATAATTATAAATCACATATTTACTACTAATTCCTGACTCACCAATTTTAGACATTGTTGACTTGCTATATTAAAAACATTTAGGTTTTGGGCCGGCCCGGTGGCGCACTGGATAGTGCGCCGCTTGGGAAGTGCGGCGGCGCTCCCGCCTGAGGGTTCGGATCCCACATACAGACCGGTTCCCGCTCACTGGCTGAGCGAGGCGTGGGAGCGACGCCGAGGGTTGCGGTCCCGTTGCCGGTCCCCGGTCCAGTACGGGGGCAACACTGAGGGTTGCGATCCGTTGCCAGACGCGGAAAAAGACAAAAGACAAAAAAAAAAAAAAACATTTAGGTTTTGGGCCGGCCCGGTGGCGCACTGGATAGTGCGCCGCTTGGGAAGTGCGGCGGCGCTCCCGCCTGAGGGTTCGGATCCCACATACAGACCGGTTCCCGCTCACTGGCTGAGCGAGGCGTGGGAGCGACGCCGAGGGTTGCGGTCCCGTTGCCGGTCCCCGGTCCAGTACGGGGGCAACACTGAGGGTTGCGATCCGTTGCCAGACACGGAAAAAGACAAAAGACAAAAAAAAAAAAAAAACATTTAGGTTTTGGGTCTTGTACCACCCAAACACTCTCACTACCTCTTCTCCCAACCTCTTAATAAATGATTATTTTTTAATTATTATTTTTTTTTTGGTGGCTGGCCAGTAACACGGATCATACCCCGGACCTTGGTGTTATCAACATCACACCCTAGCCAACTGAGCTAACTGGTCAGCCCTCTATCTCAATAAAAAATTAAATCAATACTCAGTAATTACATTATTATAAGTATATAATAAACATTGTTCCCACCTATGCCACGTACTGTACTATGACTTCTTTTCTTGTATAGTTTTGTTTTCCCTGAGATTTACTGCTTTCAGTTTTTGTTTGTAACTTTCCATGTACCTATCACCAATTGTTCTTCCACAATAAACAAACAACAAAACGCCTCCTGATCATATGAACATTTATTTTCTAAAAATTGTTGACAGCTGTCATCTGCTGTGGTATCCTCTCCTGTTCTCCTTGTCTCTGGTAGGTTTACACCTTTTAAAACCTTTGTAAGGTTTATGCCATTACTATTATTTTAGCAAGCTTTCAGGAAAGAGCAGCTAAATTTATTATTTAGGAAAAGGCTCATTATCATTCTTATTATCTAATATCTAATATTTTATCAACTCTAAGGTATGCATTATTTCACATTTTAATGTCTCTGAAATTGGGATGCATCTTACAATCAATGTCAGTTTAATTGGCAGCTTTTTTCTTCCTTAGCAATACATAAAATAATGGTGCATCTTATAATCGATGGCATCTTAGAATCGATGAAATACATTAGATATTCCCATCAAAATATGATACAAAATATAACTAAAACTAAGTAAGGGAAAAAATTAATATTATTTTCCAAAAGACACATCTGTTTACCTAGTCAATCAAAAAACCATTTGGGCCACTGCTGGTGTGAATGTAAAATGGCACAGTCACTATGGAAAACAATATAGTCATTCCTCAAAAAATTGAAAATAAAATTACCATATGATTCAGTAATTTACTCCTGGGTATACTGAAAAAATGATCTTCAAAGAGAGAATCACATACCCAAATGTCCATCCACAGACGAATGGAAAAACAAAATGTATATACATACAATGTAATATTATCCGTCGTTAAAAAGGAAGAAAACCCTGCCATATATGAGTACTACAATGTGAATGAACCTTTAAGACATTATGCTAAGTAAAATAAGCCAGTCACAAAAAAGACAAAGACTGTGTGGTTCCACTTACATGAGGCATCTAAAGTAGTCAAATTCAAAGAAGCAGAAAGTAGAAAGGTGGTTGCCAAGGGTTGGGGGAGAGGGAAATGAGGAGTTGTTATTTAATGGGTATAGAGTTTCAGTTTCGCAAGATAAAAAAGTTCTGGAGATCTGCTGCACAGCAGTGTGAATATACTTAACACTACTGAACTATACAGTTAAAAATGGGCAAAAAGATTTAAAAGAAAACCTTATCAAACTGTATATTTTAAACACATACAGTTTATTCTATGTCAATTTTTTTTTCCTTTTTGTCTTTTTTACTGACCGGCAACGGGATCGCAACCCTCGGTGTTGCGCCCGCACCGCGCTCAGCCAGTAAGCGGGAACCGGTCTCCACATGGGATCCGAACCCTCAGCGGGAGTGCCGCCGCGCTCCCAAGCGGCGCACTCTCCCGTGCGCCACCGGGCCGGCCCCTATCTCAATTTTTATACCTCAATAAAGCTGTTTAAAAAATCATTTGAGGGGCCGGCCCGGTGGCGCATGGGAGAGTGCACCGCTTGGGAGCGCGGTGGCGCTCCCGCTGAGGGTTCGGATCCCATGTGGAGACCGGTTCCCGCTCACTGGCTGAGCGCGGTGAGGGCCCAGCACTGAGGGTTGCTATCCCATTGCCGGCCCCCGGTACGGGCGCGACACTGAGGGTTGCGATCCCGTTACCGGTCAGTAAAAAAGACAAAAAGGAAAAAAAAAATCAATTGAAAGGATATGGATCCCCGTATCAGCAAGCCGCAAAAAAAAAAAAAAAAAATCATTTGAAGCAATAGGAGAGTTCAGAAAAGTTGCTGGATATGAGATACCAATACAAAAACAATAGATTTTCTATATTCCTAAATATTTTGTTTTTGTCTTACAGTTTTATAATTCAGAAAGTAATTTTAGGGCCGGCCCGGTGGCGCACTGCTACAGTGCGCCGCTTGGGAGTGCGGCGGCGCTCCCGCCGAGGGTTCGGATCCCACATACAGACCGGTTCCCGCTCACTGGCTGAGCGAGGTGTGGGCGCAACACCAAGGGTTGCGATCCCGTTGCTGGTCCCGGTCCGGTACGGGCGCGACACTGATGGTTGCGATCTGTTGCCGAACACAAAAAAAGAAAAAAAAAAAAAAGTAATTTTAAATGCTCTGCCTCATTTGAATTTTGATACTCATTAAAAAAAAATCATGAGACACTATTCTTCTTTAACAGATCAGAAAACAGATCTTGGCAAAGCTATTCTAAAGATTTACCCAATGTAGGGCTTATCCTTGAACCAGATATTCTGACTCCTAGCTAATAAGATTTTCCCACTCCAACAATACAAAAAAAAAAAAAAAAAATTCCATTCGTAATAGTAATAAAAATATAAAATACTTGGGAATTAATTTAGGAGGCATATGTGAAATAGAAAACGACAAAATTCTGAGGAAACAAAACAGGAGTTGAATAAAATGGAAAATGCATTTAGTTGGGAATACTACATTTAATATAATTGAAGATATTTCTCCAGTAAAACTGCAAATCTAACAAAATTTCAATTGGAATAGTACTATGAAGTGATATGAAATGGGTTAAAAATTATTTGGAAAAATAAAATGGGCAAAAATATCAAGGCTTTTAAAAGAGGAAGGCTTAGCCTTACCAGATATTAAAATATATTATAAAGAAACAGTAATCAAAAGGGAATATTCAGATCCCCACACACAAAAAAAGAACTATTGAGTCAAAAAATAGAAAAACAGATCAACAGAAGAGAGATCTAAGACATGTGCCATATATATGTATGTGTGGTATATATATAAAAATAAATTTAATAAAAGACCTGTTAAGCACAATATATTACAAATGAATCATTTAATACATCTCGCTGTGCTATCTGGTTAGCAATACTAAGAAAATTTAACTCAGACCAACCACTCATACTAATACCACAATAAACCTCACGTAGATTAAAGGATTATAAATTATAATCCTTATATTTAATTATAAAGTAAAGCACACTTATACTTACTATTGAGGAGAGAAAATGTACTCACTAGTTAAGAAACAGAAAATACAAAGGTAAAGATAAATACTATTATACAAAATGTTAAAACTTCTGTAAAACAAAAGACAATAACACTAAAATAAAAAGAAAAGCAATATAATAAATATCTATAAAAATGACAGATAAAGATTTGAAAGTTTAAAAGTTAAAGTACAGCAATAGTTCACACAACCAAAACAATAAATAACACTAGCTTATTCAAAAGAAAAACACATTAAAAAAAGTGATATTACAAAAGTTAACAATAGCATCATTTATAATCACACACTCAAAAAAAATACCCTGGAACTAATAAGAGGGAATGATTAAACAATGTATAGTACATTAATTTAGTCATAAATGATATATAAAAGAACTATGTAGATAGGTGAAAAAGAAAAAAAAAGTAAAAAGTTATATCTATATCAGAATTATAACTATGTAAAAATTACACATCAATATAATCTAATGCCAAATATAAGTAGGAAAAGTTCATAAAAGAGGACTTACAGGTAAGGATGGTAGATTAAAAACAAACATCTACTCTTACTTCCTTTTAAAACCCCACTAAAGATGGCCAGTTAGCTCATTGGGCAAGAGTGGTGCTGACAACACCAAGTCAAGGGTTAAGATCCCCTTACCAGTCATCTTTAAAAAAAAAAAAAAAAAAACGACTAAAATGTCAGTAAAGAAAACCCACAACATCAGGGTGAATGGGAGGAGACAATGAGAAAAAATTTTTATAATGTGGAACACAGATAAACAAGTAGTAACTTAAAAAACCTGAAGAAACAGATTTCTATACTGGTAGTAGACAAAACCACTCAATTTACACCACAAAATTCCAAAATACCAAGGAATTGGTAGCATGGTGATCATCCAGGAGAGGGGGTAGGATGTGGCTAAAATGAGGATTGACTGAAACCTATTGAAGAAGCAGTCAAATTCTCTCAGATCCTCTATTACCTGTAGCCAGAAGACTGCCCTTCCCAGTGCCAGCAGAAGACTGGAGCTTTAGCTTTTCTATAGTGAAGCTCACAGTCAGCAAGATGTACTCACATGCTGAGCTCCCAATCAGCTATGTAGTCTCCCAATCTTAAATTTGAGCAGAAAACTGTGTAAGAAGACAGACTCTAACATGAACAGAGACCAAAACAAACACACAAACAATGAAAACAAGGGAGGAAACAGAAGGAAGAAAACTTTAAAATTTAAAACAATACTATTTTTAATATCCTCAGAAAGTTAACAAAAAATATAACCATGAAACAAAAATAGAATACTATATATAAAAAAAGAATATTCACAGAACAAAAGGAAGCCTTTAGAAACTAAAAATATAATAACATACATGGAAAACAAATAGAAGGACTTGAAGATAAATCTGAAGTTTTCTAGAAAGCAGAACAAGGAGAGAGAGAAATTAAAGATGTGAGTATGAAAAAATGCTCAGCACCACTAGTCATCAGAGAAATGCAAATCAAAATCACACTGAGATATCATCTCACCCCAGTTAGACTCACCATTATTAAAAAGGCCAAGAATAACAAATGCTGGTGAAGATGTGGAGAAAGGGCAACTCTTCTACATTGTTGGTGGGACTGTAAATTAGCACAGCCATTATGGAAAAGAGTATGGAGGTTTCTCAAACAAATACAGATAGAGCTACTATATGATCCAGCAATCCCATTACTGGATATGGAAATCATCATGTCAGAGGGATACCTACACTCCCAAGTTCATTGCAGCTCTATTTACAATAGCCAAAATATGGAACCAACCTTAGTGTCTGTTGACAGACAACTGGATAAAGAAAATGTGGTATATATACACAATGGAATACTAGTCAGCCATAAAAAAGAATGAAATTCTGCCATTTGAAACATGGATGAGTCTGGAGAAAACTATGTTTAGTGAAATAAGCCAAAGAAACAGAAATACCACATGTTCTCACTCATAACTGGCTGCTAGGAAGGAAGGAAGGAGGGAGGGAGGGAGGGAAGGAGGGAAGAAGGAAGAAATGAAAGAAAGAAAGAAAGAAAAGACCACAACAATATGTTGAACTTTCAGAAAGAGAGAACAAACATAAGGATACTAGAGAGGAGGGGGGAGGGAGGGAGAGGATTTTGGAAGTGATAGGTTGGGTAAAGGGCATAAAGAAATACCACAATTTGTAAGAATGAATATGCTAATAATAAATAAAAAATAATAATTAAAAAAAATTTTTAAATAAAAGATCAAGTGTAAAAAAAAAAAAAAAGAAATTAGAGATGTGAGACAGAGGATAAGAAAATGACAGGGGTAGACCAAGAAATCCCATATCAGAAAAATAGGAGTTCCAAAAGGAGAGAACAGAAAATGGAAGAGAAGAAATTATCAATTTAATAATCTAAGAAAATTTGACAAATCAGAAAGACAAATTTTCCGTAGAAGTCCCAGCACAGTAACTGAAAATAGATCTACAGCAAGGCATATAACTGTGAAATTTGAGACCTATGGTGGAAAAAAAGATCTTATAAGCTTCTGGAAAGGAAAAAAGGTCACATAAAATGGTACAGAAATAAGAATGACCTTGGACTTCCTAACAGCAGCACTGGAAGATGGAAGGTAATTCTTTAAAATTCCTGAAAGAAAATCATTTTCAACCTGGAGTCCTATACCCAACCTTAACATCAATCAAGTTTGAAGACAGAATAGAGGCATCTTCAGACATTTAAATTTTAAAAATGTTAATCTCTCATGTGTCCTTTCTTGAGAAGCTATGAGAATATATTCTACCAAAATAAAGGAAAGCAAAAAAAAAAAAAAAAGAAAGACATGTACTCTAACACTGGAAAAAGAAGATCCCACATAGGAGATGTGATGGTGATGGGCAATCCCAGAATGATAACTGTGTACCCAAGTTGAGGGCCACCAGTTCAGACTGGGATAGGACAAAGTCTCGATGAAAGATTTCTTCAGACACTGATGAAGTATCTAATGGGTCTAAATACTTTTAGAGGAGATTCAGTGAACTAGTAAAGAGTATGATGCTAAATCAATTATAAGTACACAGAAAACTATGCAAATGAAAAAGAAGGACAATAATTAGCTGAGGAAAAACAAAATGTTGTAAAGGAAATGAGAAGTAAAGATAGTCTTTATTACATGGCTTTGCTATACATCTCATTATTTATAGAGTCATAATGATGTAAACACTGAATACTGACCTACCAAATATTATAATTTGACCATATTAAGGGAATGGGAGAGATAAAAAAGGTATGGGTATGTGGTGAGAATGTGGGAGGAAAGAGAGCTAGTGTCTCATCTTCGATAGTGGGAAACGAAGAGATACTGCTTGAATCTGAAAAATTGAGTAGAAGCAATACAATCAAATTATAATAGAGATGTGACAGTAAATACCAAACAAAACAAACAACAAAAAACAAAGCTATAAGATGTGAAAGTGGTAGGGTATGGGGGTGGGGTTGAGGGTAAGTGGAGGCAACTACTATTTTTCATAATAAACTGTGTAGAACTATGTGATGCTTTAAATTGTATTATAATATTGATGAAAAACTTTTGAACAGACACATAGCCATAATGCTCATTTTCTGTTGTTTAAAAAACCAGAATAAATATTTCTTAAACTTCAGAATATCTTTACTTCTAAAACTTATTTATCTTTTGTGAAATCTGGGATAGAACATTTTACAAACATAACTACTCAGACCCAGGAGTAAAGCAGCTTACACAAGGATTCATACTGATTTGGCAAATTACCAGCTATATACAAACAGAAAAAGGAATCAGCCCTTTCACGAAGATCAATTCACCTACCTGATGAAAGAAGTAGGTAACAGCAAGGTCATTGTCATTTAAGAGGATTTCTTCTTCTGTCGTAAAAAGCCATTTTCGAATAGTCAGACAGGTGCCTGGCACAGCTGATGTATAATTCTGGACGTAGAGTTTGTGAGGAAATTCATTAGGTGCCAGCTTACGTACTGAAGAAGAGAAAGCCAGAGCAAAAAGATATAAAAGGAATTTCCCTAGGATAAACTACGTAAAGCAGATCAAGAATGGTAGGTTATCATTCACCAGAACATCAGCTCAAATCCATCAAGGAGCTCTGTTTTTGGTAGCACAAAATAACCATTTGTCTAACCACATCTATCCCTTTTAACTATGACTATGGCCAGTTGAGCCTCTGACTTAAACCTACCACTTGAATGACAGGTTTTTCTGTTAACATGATGACTCTACAGACAGCACCAACTCCAAATTCAGTTAAGACATCTGATCCATTATCTGGTAAATTATAGCTGATGTTCATTGAACATCTTTAAACCAAGCCTGTCTTCTTACCTAGCTATGATGTACTCAGAGTCCCTCACGTGGCAATTCTCAATGAACTGCTTTTATTGTGAGAAGCTAAAAGGCTCTTCCCACCCCATACCCAAAACCGTAAGGCATTCACCAAAGTGAAAAGTGTCTTCTGAGCAGTTATGTCCTCTTCCTAACAGTGCATAAGCCGGTAAAACACCATCACTTTTCATTTCTATATTACTTTTCTTTGGGAAGGATGAGTTTTCCTCTCTTGATGTTTACTTGGCTTTATAACATTGCTAAAGACAGATTTAGTATTTCCCATTTTATATAAAGTGAAACTAAATCTTAGAAAAGGATAAAATTAGAATCCCAGTGTCCTGGTACTCTAGCAATCCTTTGTAACATCATTTATATTCACCTATTTAGGGTGTTAGGAGTTAGGAAGAAAAAAAATAATGAGATGACTGCTTTGGGAAATCAAAGTTGTTCTGCCTTGACCTGGGATGGCAAGTCAACCCAAATCCACCAAATTCTCCCCATTTCTGGGATGAGAAAGATCTGATCAACCAATATTATCTATGTCATGTCCGGCCTTAGCTGTGTGTATATATGAGAGTACTTCAAAAGTTCATGGAAAGATAGAATTAAAAGATAATACTATCTTCTCCATGAACTTTCTGAAGTACCCTCGTGTGTGTGTGTGTGTGTGTGTGTGTGTGTGTGTCTCTTTGCGGTGTGTAGAAAAGACCCACCCGGGGCCGGCCCGGTGGTGCACTGCTACAGTGCGCCGCTTGAGAGCGCGGTGGCGCTCCCGCCGAGGGTTCGGATCCCACATACAGACCGTTTCCGCTCACTGGCTGAGCGAGGTGTGGGAGCAACACCGAGGGTTGCGATCCCATTGCCGGTCCCGGTCCGGTACGGGCGCGACACGGAGGCTTGCGATCCGTTGCCGGACACGAAAAAAGACGGAAAAAAAAAAAAAAAAGAAAAGACCCACCCATAAACTGTAGGAAATCTGTCATTCAAAGCAAACCCTCAGGCTCCCCTCCCCTTTGTCATCTCAATGCAACCAATGTGACCACCATCCTAGCTTTTATAAAAGAAATTGCTTGTCACCCAGCAATAAAATTTCCTAGGAAAAGGAAATCTATTCTTGTAGAAACTTAAATATATGCATTAAAACGAAGGTTTTTAAGCAATGTATCTCTTTCTAACTTCTGAAAACAAAAAGCTATTCTTAAAAATCTTTACAAAAAACAAAGTACACTAAAACAACATGTGGCTAAAGAGAACATCCCCTCTTTTCAAGGCTGTTTCATTGGAATATATGAATTTTAAACCTCTGACTTAAAAGAACCTCATCAAAGTATCTAATTCAATGCTGGATGTAACCTATACTTACAAAAGAGGGAAAAGGATTAACAGTGATCGGATATCTTTATGACCTAGGCTTAACAGGATTTGCCTGGTCTGCTTGTTGGAGACCATTCTAATGAATGGGATCTCCCCTTGTCCTCAAGCTCTTCTCTAGGCACACAGTTTCCATCTGACAATATTAGAATAAAATACCCCCAAACAAGACTTAATATTAGCCACTGGCACTTACCAAAGGAATGATTGATCACTTCAAATAAGGCAAAGTAATTAGCTGTTGTACTGTCCATGCCAACTTTTGCTGCAATAGCCTAAAGTGTAAACAAGGTAGATTTGTTTCAGGAAAAGTAAATTAGACAATGCTGCAGGAAAAGGCAGATGTATGCATGTGAAAGGGAGGAGAGGGGAAAGGTTCTGCTATCTTGGCTTCACAAAAACTAAATTCGTGGTCCATAGCTATCCTTCTTTGTATGGATGTATACATGCACACATGTATACATACATTTGAAAGAAAAGGAAAAGATACCTGTATTTGACCCAAACAGCTATGATCTCCGAACATGAGTTTCTCCCTTCCAATACAAGCTGATAATAGTCTCTCCTTAAATATCAGCTTTGTCCTCTGAAGTATGACTTCATTCCACAAGAATCTTTTTAAACACCACTTATAAGAAATGTGCTTAATAGAACAGATCTTAAGAAGAAAACAAATTCCTTAAATAGACAATTTCACACACATTCAGCCTATATTTAATATAGGCCATTAACACACAAGATCTCTATCTTTGATTCTTGAGCTTAAAATATTGTTTGAGTTTTAAAATACTGAATTTTATTCAAGCTTTACAAATTATTTTTTATTTTTCAGATGATTTATTTATCAGGCTGGGGAAATTAGGCACCTCCATTTCCTAAGAATTACCATCATCATCAATATCCACATGAAAATAGCAAAAATGTTGGGGCAACAGAGGCATAGTAAACACAGATCAGTCTTTCTCTCTAGGAACTAAGGTCCTAACATGACAAAAAAGAAATTGAAAGACTCCAAATCCAGTTAAATAAAAATTTAAATTACAAACAACAAAAAAAGCACAAAGCAAAAAACACAAACTAGAATAAAACTCTTCAAGATCAATCCCAATATAAATAAGGTGTTAATTGAACAAGATAAAAATGTTGAATATTAGTATCTCAGTAAACCAAATATAATTATATCCCTTCTTCCTATATCTGTTCACATATCAGGCCTAGGTTCATCCCTGAAGTGATATAAGAACTAGAGATTATAAGCGTTCTAAATTACAATTACATACTGTACTGGATAGAAACTGAAATGCTCTCAAGGTTTAGAAAATGACTTCTGGCTAGAAGTCTCAGTAACAGGGTAACAGGAAAAGTACAAAAAAACCTAGGCCACAGAAACATTGGAAAAAAGCAAAGAAAACAAAACAAAACACCAGCAAGCTGTAAAACTAGGGTTTTTCTTGCAAATATTCTATCATTGTATAATTTAGAAATGCCTCAGATCTTCACAAATCCTTTGCCATAATATACAGTAGATGAAAAAATGTATGGGGAATGTATTTTTTAATGTTTTCTCCAAAGGAGAAATAAGCATTAATATCAAGAAACTGCTTGTCTCCCTGACTATCTTGATCAAGTTAGGATTAAAGGCTAATTAAAAGCCTACAAGCAATGACTAAACCCAGCACCCAGATCATGATCTTTAAATACCATTTCTCAGGAAAAGGAAACCGGATTACTTGGGGAAATGTCTTATTCTAGATCCAGCGTAGGAAATATACAAAGATGAGCCCAGGGCATCTTGTACCAAAAAGCACGTATGCTATCATAAACTAATGGGTTGCATCAAAAGCATATAGGAGCAGACATGAAGGAGCTTCCACTGGCCAAACATGGATTAATTCGACCATCAAAAAGATAATAAATGCTACTGTCTAAATCACATTGAGTCTAAAAACCCACATGATATTAAAAAACATATATAACAATTATCTCATTGGACATCACTGAAATCAACTGGACACCAATTCTTTAGTCTGAAAACTGGCAATAAAAGAAACTAATTAAATATGTATCCTCTCTTTCCCACAGACTGTATTTCAAGATAACTAAAAAGTCTTAGTTATTAAGGAAAAGTTATTTACAGAAGAATTCTAGTTAATAAGTGTAAGGAAATGAGAAAATTAGCACTTTACAACCTTTAATAAAATCGCTGATTAAGGCAACAATCATCAATGGATACACTCATTTAATAAAAGATCAATGGGAAACTTTACAATAGAGAGATCAGGTTATCAACACCTAAACCTACTGATTAATCTTAGCACCACTAAAAGTGGGATAACCAGATATTGTGTACCTCCTGTTGAGAAGCAACATGAAGTATATAGCACCAATTATAAAGTATTCTTATCAAAAAAGCAGAACCTGAATCTAATCAAGCCTCTAGAGCAAACTTCCATTTATAGAAAATCTAGGGAGACAGAAGGACATATTAAATGACACTACAAGGAAACAAACAGATAAATTCAGAATGTGGAACATTCCACAGGACACTGACCCAATTTCCACAACAAAACAATGGCATGGAAAAAAAAGTTGGGGAGAGGAAGGGTGACCACTCTATATTAAAACAAACGAAAACTAAATGTGATATAAGGACCTTATTTAGATCCATATTTTAACAAACCAACTGACAATTGGAAAAATTTGACTATGGAGTGGTTATTAGTTAATACCAAGGAAATAGTGCTAGTTTTGATAACGGCATTGTGGTTATGAAAGAAGAATGTCCATATTTTTTAGATGCATACTCAAGTATACACAAGTCCAATAACATGGGGATTTGCTTCAAAATACTTAAGGGAAAAAAGGCTACATGATGCAAATGTGGCAAAATCTTGATAATTATTAGATATGAGTATATGGAAATTCATTGTACTATTCTGTTTTCATGTATGTTATAAAGCCTTTTACAATTAAAAGAAGGAGGGGTTAATCACAACCACTATAACCTGGGATATTTACTGTACCTTTCTATCAAGAAGGGCAAAGTACTTTCACATTAATAATAACTTATTATGTGCCAGACACTCTAAGTACTTTATATGTATAAGCTCCTTTAATCTGTCTGTCTTAGTTTCACACCATCCAATTCCAAGTCTATTTGTTCAAGTTTAATTTACCTGATATACTTGGTCTGTAGTACTGTTCTTTTTAACCCTGACTGTAACTGTTGTTCCATCTGGTAATGCTACTCTCAGCTCTACGTCGGACACACCATTGTAGTTCTGGGAGAAAAGACACAGAGAAAGAGTTTATGATCCAGTATATCCTCACTCTCCCTGTAACATGGTAGCTCAACAGTAACCCACACATGTGATAGAGAGGAAGTGAGTTCCAATGAAAAGGGGAAAAAAGACACTTTAAAAGTCAATACATTTACAAGTCATAAAGCTGACCTTAGGCAGCAGCAGTTAACCTTTACGATGAATAAGGAGGAAAGAAATATGTTGCAGCCAGCGTGTTCACATTTCAAAACAGAAAACTTATATGAAGCAGTCTAGGTTAAACACTGATGAGATTTTTGGTTCACTTCCTTCACCCTATTCAGAACTCACAAATGTGAAAAGAAATCAACTAAAAGCAGTGGTTTCAACAAATATTCTTTGGTTTCAATGGTTAGGCAGATGGATTGGCCCAAGGGGTATCCTAAATTCATTTCTGAACCCCAAAACAATCAGGACACCTTTGAAAGGAAAAATGGATGAGCTGAGGGTTCTGAGTTAGTCTGATGCCTGATTTTCTTCTAGCAAAAAGTAAACAATTCCTATTTTCCTTAATTCAAAAGAAATCCTCTCATTGTGTTTGATGATTAATAATTCCTCTAACAGATTTTTGCTTTTGTAATTTTTATTAGAAACAACTATTTCTAAGAAAATCTATCTTCATTTACCACTTAAAGATGATCAAGATTTACCTCTTACCTACAAGTAGCTCACGCTCTTGTAAGCTAAAAATATAAAGTGACAATCTGATTATATGTATAAAAATGAGAAAATGAGATAGCAATCAGTACTGATTGCAAAAGTTCTTAGTGGAATGAAAAATTGATGATTTGAGTCATCAGGGAAGGCTTCAAAGAGAAGATGAACCTGGCACTGGGCCTTAAAAGACAGATAAGCAGGCTATATATATATGAAAAGTAAGTAAAAAAAAATATGTTTGTTTGGAGAGTTTATGTTAACCCAACTCATAATCAATATTTTATTTTCCCCCACAAGGAGCCAAGAGGAAAATAGTCACTAAAAACAGCATTCACCTACCTCATCTGATTCTGATAGGAATTCCTGCATGATGTCACTCTCACCAATGACTCGTATCGAACACACTGTAGAAAACAAAGATAGAATCTGGTGTAAGACCCTAAAATCAAGAATATAAGGTCAAGAATATATCAAGGTTTAAGTTTTTGTTTGTTTTGTTTTGTTTTGATGTCTGGCTGGTATGTGCATCTGAACCCTTGACCTTGATGTTACAACACTGTGCTCTAACCAACTGAACTAACCCACCAGCCCTTCAAGGTTTAAGTTTAAATCATCAGGGAATGATCAGGTAACATGCCATTCCTGGCATATGGGATTTTTAGGCATGACAACCATTCATGTAAGTATAATCTAGGGCTGGCTGGTTAGCTCACTTGGTTAGAGCATGGTGCTGATAACACCAAAGTCCAGGGTTTGATCCCTATACCAACCAGCTGCCAAAACTAAAAACAAACAAAAATACACATAGAAAAAATAAATATGATCTAGTACAAAGGAATAATAAAAATGTAACTTACTAAAAATATTAAACATAGCCAGAAAAGAGAAATAAAAATTCTGTAAATCTAACTTTGCAGTCTTGTGTGACCTATTAACATGCTAGAACAACAGAACATGGGGGGAAAGAAGCTCGGGTAGGGAAAAGTCAATCAGGAATAAACTAAATATAAAACTGAAATACAAAAGGAAAAATATTTATTTGGCCTGGGAACAGACCAGTCAGAGAACCGTAAACATTTAAGGTCACTTTGGAAAAAATGGGTAGGTAATTAAGAATTAAGCTGAGCACGTCATTTTACTTCACTGACTTTAGCTTCAAAACCACCAAAAAAAACAAAAAGTAAGAAGGAAAGCAGGCAGGTAGGTAGCTAATCGTCTAAATCTAAGAAAGTTAATTTCTTGACACTCTCATGAGGATGGTAAATTACACTGATGATTTTGCTTCATTTGATTAAAAAAAAAAAACTGTTCCCTTTCTCATTTCCCAAGAGTTGTATTCAGAGGCCAGTCCCTGTTAGAAAAAGCTAAAAACAGATGAGGAAGTTTCACTACCTTCTATGAGGGAAAATGGTTTTTCTTTAGGGATACAGCTCCTTACCAAATTTTTAAAAAATTCAACTAGGTCAATTAGTTCTTACATGAGGACATAGAATTACTAAATATCACATAATACCATTATTCTATCATACTGGTATTTTAAAGAAAAATATATGGCATACCTAGCAAATTATATAACTCTATAACATAGTAATGCAAGGTCTTTTTTCTGAACGACATCATAAACTATCTTATTCAGGAGATCTGTGTCATGTCCCTGCCTTTCTAGATAAACAAATGTTTCAGCATCCACATCCACAGACTCTTAATGTATCATTTGGAAGCTCCAAGACGAAAAGCAAATTTCAATACCTCTACCTTTGGCCTGCTTAGAACAAGAGAATTTTAGATCACCTACAACTTAGTAATCTATCCTTGGATACCCACAGAAAGAGTACAGAGTTTTCATGTAGGATATACCAGTGAGCCAAGAATTATTTTAATGAAATTGTCTTCTATACTGCCCACTTAGTTCCCAAATCAATTCCGCATATTGGTGAGTCTGTCTATATGCGTTTGGTGGTAAATAATATAATCCTATAGACAAAGGTCCATTAAGGACCATCAAATGCTTCAAAAACTAAATATTCATTTTTCTGTTGTTAAGTGCTCAGCAAGCCAGTAAAACAAGTTACCAATTACTGTACTGGACATTTCAGCCTTGCCTTCAAAGCTCAGTTCATTCAACACTTACAGAGTCAGAAACTTGACTTACTTTCACTATCGAGCTTCAGGAAACTTAGCTATGCAGTTTAGAAGTTGCAATATATATCTAGATCCCATGTCTACTCAGGATAGTAAAGCTTAATGGGATGGCTTACCTTTTTCTAGATATTCTTCCAACCCCCGACGTCGGGCATCTAATTGCTGTTCTGATAATGAGAATGGCCACTTCCCTGGAAGTCGGGGAAATGTAAAGTTGGCAAACTCTCTCTTCAGGTTCTGATGTAAGATGGCAAACTCCCGGTACCGCTTAGAACACAGTTGCCTCCCTGCCATGTAAACATTGTATACCTGGTGAGAGAGAAAACAAAGAAAACAAAGGAAAATCTACTTACTACAAATCACAAAATTATCTAAAGTCATGCTCAGACTATGTTCGAGGTCAATTTAAAATAAGACTTATTTTTAACAAACATTCCAAAAGTTTTATGTACAAGAAAGGGCTATCCTCTTCAAGGGGGGCATGATCTTACTTTTGCTATTAAAATTATCTCCAACACGACCGGTTCCTGCTCACTGGCTGAGCGCGGTGCGGGCACAACACCGAGGGTTGCGATCCCGTTGCCGGTTCCCGGTACGGGCGCGACACGAGGGTTGCGATCCCGTTACCAGTCAGTAAAAAAAAAGACAAAAAGGAAAAAAGAAAAATTATCTCCAACACACTTTTAAATATCTTCAGAGGCAATTATCAGTTTTTAAAGGTGGATTTTATTTTCAGAAAGTTAAAAGTCATTCGAAGTAAATGTGATAAATGTAGCAAATGAACAAGCAAGGAAATTTGAGGGAGATGAAAACCTAAGTTTGATTATAAAGCAATGTGACTGATATTTGTGTGTGGCTCAAACTGGATCTAAAGTTAAATCCAAAGAAAATACATAAAAATGATTTAAGCAATAGCGGAATTTTTGTTAGCAAATAGACACTGTAAAAAGCAAAACATAAGCTAAAACCTTGATAATAACTTAATTTAAACCATATAGTCTCTGCTGTTTTTCTGACCCCAAAAGTTATCATATCCAACAATGTTCATCATTCCCTTGTTTTTCATTTTATAGGTTTTTTTTGCATTTATATATAACCCTTAAATTTTTATTTTTCATTTGAATTTTTAAGGGTATTTTAGTTTTAAAAGAGGGTATCATGCTGAATGAGACGTTTTGAAACTTACTTTTCTCACTTAATATTATATTATGCAGCCTCATCTACAGTGTTATATATCTTTGTGGTTTATTCTGCTGTCCATAGCATTTTGTTGTGTGAACATATCATGATTTTTTTGTTTTTAATGTGTTCTCCCACTGATGGGACTTTGGGTTGTTTCTTGGTTTTAGCTATTTTGAACAATGCTACTATGAACATTTGTATACGTGCCTCCTGTTACATGTGCAAAAGAGATTCACCTGAATATATACCTAAGAGTGGAACTGCAGGGTTATAAGATATGTGCATATTCAACCTCAGGAGATAATGCCACACTATAAGCTAAAGTGGTTGCACCAATTTATACCTCCTTCAGCAATATATAAAAAGATCCTCTTAGTTTTTGCCAATGGGATAGGTGTGAAAAGATTTTACTGTGGTCCTAATTTACATTTCCCTAATTACTAATGATGTTGAACATCTCTTCATATATTTATTGGCCATTTGAATGTTCTTTTTTGTAAAATACCTAATTTATGTGTTTTGCCTATTGTTATATTGAGTTTTTGTGTGTTTCTCATTGATTTGTGGAGTTCTTTATATCTTCTTGACACTATATTTTTTATTCGTGTATATTATGAATATCTTCTCCCTATATGTCACTAGTCTTTTCATTTTATTAAAAGATCTTTTGAATTTTAAAAAGCTCTTAACTTTAAGAGTTAAATTTATCAATCTTTTTATAATCAACTTTTTTTGTATCTTAAGAAATTTTTTTCTATCTCTAAGCTAAAAGCTATTCACCACTATTTTCTACTAAGAGCTTTTAATTTTTGCTTTGTCATTCAAGACCTTAATTCATCTGGAATTGATTTTTCTACATAGTATGAAATAGAGTTTTGTTGGTATTTCTTTTAAAGCCAAGGATATTTAAAATAAACTTTTAATTGAATTATCCCTAAAACAAATATTCTGCTTTTACAGGACAATCAGGGCCCTTCAAGTGGTCTGTAGTTAACCTCCCACTATAAACAACTAGAAAACTGGACACAATATAGGAAACAACTATTTTCAGACTATGGACAACAAGCAACTAAGAACTGTGACCCCTGAGAAAAGGGAAACAAACAAAAGGAGCCCTACCGTAACACTGGCTTTCTACCTGTAGGTAACTCCTAAACTGCAGCTCAGAGAGGGGCATCCAAATAGAGCTCAGCAACTTTACTGAATTGAACAGACAGAGACTGGAGTTCAAAGAGGTAAAATTCTGCAGCTAGAATTTGCAGGGTAAGCACACAAAGAGAGACAGAGCTCCAGAACTCTGCATTGGATCCTCTTGAGTTTTGGCTGAATAACGCTCCAAGGAAAGAATTATGACCAGGGGAGCTAGAAATGAACAATTTTCAGAGGTCACACAGAGCACTGAATCATTCAACTTCCCTCCAACCAGAGAGACCTCCCTGAATCTACATGGAATTCAGAAGGGAACTCCAAAAGACCATGTTTTAGGAGGGGGACTAATTAGTTCTAGAGTGAAAGCTAAACCACCCTAAAAGAGCATAAAAACAAACCTCAAAAGGATCAAAGTAATCTGTAAGTAACTTTTGCATGCCAGAAAAAAATCCAACAGTCTTTAAAAGAATATAACAAAACCTAGCACCCAATAACATTAAATTCACAATGTACAATATCTAATCAAAATCAGTACCATTTCCATATACCAATAATGAGCTAGCTGAAAAAGAAATCAAGAAAGCAATCTCATTTACAATAGCTACAGAAAAAAATAAATAAATAAAAATAACACAAAATACCTATGAATAAATTTAACTAAGGAGGTAAAATATCTCTACAAGGAAAACTATAACACACTGATGAAAGAAACTGAAGAGGATGCACAAAAAAAATGGAAAGATATCCCAAGTTCATGGATTGGAAGAATTAATATTGTGAAAATGACCATACTACCAAAAGCGATCTACAGATTCAGTGCAATCCCTGTCAAAATACCAATAACATTCTCCACAGAAATAGAAAAACTTTTGAAAGCCAGAAATTAAGAGAAAACTTTGAGGGTAGCCAGAAAGAGTTAAAACAGTACACAGAGAAAACCAAAAATTAAAATAAGTAGGCTCCTCATCAGAAACTATGCAAACCAGAAGACTGGAGAGACATTTTTAAAGTACTGAAAAAAAAAAATCTATCAACCCAGTATTCTATACCCCGTGAAAAATATCTTTCAAACATAAAGGTGAAATGAAGACTTTTTCAGACCAACAAAAGCTAAGAGAATTTATTGCCAACAGACCTTCACTATAAGAAATATTAATTAACAGACATTCTTCAGGCAGAGGGAATATGATGCCAGAGGGAAACTGGATTTACACGAAAGAATGAAGTACACCAAAGATAATAAATATGCAGTTAAATATAAAAAGAACTCTTTTCTCATTTTTAATCTCTTAAAAGGTAATTGTTTAAAGCAAAGATAACAATGTATCATGGAGTTTATAACAGATATAGAAGTAAATGTGTAACAACAATAGCACAAAGGATGGGAGAGGGGAAATGAAAGATATTCTTTAAAGACTCTTATACTACATGTATTATACTATTTGAAGGTAGATGCTTATAAGTCATAGATGTATACTGTAAACCTAGTACAACTTCTAAGAAAATAAAAGAACAAATTATAGCTAATAAAATAGTGGAGATAAAATGGAATCACGTAAAAATACTCTAATAATCCAAAAGAAGGCAGAAAAGGAGGAAAAAAAGAATAAAGAACAGATGAGATATAAATAACAAAGAACAGATGGTAGATTTAACCTAACTAGATCAACAATTATACTAAATGTAAGCAGACTATCACAGATTAATTCCTCCAATAGTTTCATCAGTCGACTGGACACAGCTGAGGAAAGAATTAGCAAACTTAAAGACTGGTCAACCCCGGTACGGGCGCAACACGGAGGGTTGCGATCCCGTTACCGGTCAGTAAAAAAAAGACAAAAAGGAAAAAAAAAAAAAAAAAAAAAAGACTGGTCAATAAAAAGTATCCAAATGAAAACAAGAGAAAAAGAAGTGCTAAAACAGAATAAAGCATCCAAAGTCTCCAAATAAAAGACAAAGATTGCCAGATTAAATAAAGAAGCAAAACCTGAGGCTGGCCAGTTAGCTCAATTGGTTAGAGGGTGAATAACACCAAGGTCAAGGGTTCCTATCCCCATACAGGCCAGATGCAAAAAAAATTTTTTTTTCATTAAAAAATAATAAAAATATAATAAATAAATTCTTAAAAAGCAAGACCCAACCATAAACTGTCTGTGAGAAATTCACTTTAACTGTAACTATATAGATAGGTTAAAAGCAAAGGATGGAAAATATATACAATAAAAATAAACCAAAATAATTAAAAAATGAAGTGACTATTATTGGCTACATGTCAACATCAGAAAGAGAATTCAGAACAAAGAATATTACCAGGGATAGAGAGATAGTTCACAATGTTAAAGAGGTTTATTCATCAAGAAGACATAACAGCCTCTTTATACATAAAGAAAAACCTGATAGAACTGAAGATTCCACTTCAGGTATACTTGTGTAAACTCCCTATAGGCCAGCCCCCAACCTCCAGCCTGCCTTATAACAACTACAAACTCTGGACAAAATACAAAAACCACAATTACCTGAGGATTCTGAGTAGTACACTAAAAACAAGCAGATAGTAGAGGGGGATCAAAACATGGAGCAATGACCTGCATTGGGTGAGGGGGGAAGTAAGCGTCAGTACAAAGTAGTGTAACTTAAGCAACTAAAACATAATATCCTGACATCTTTCTGGCTCGAAGAAATTGGGAAAGAATTGCAGGCAATCACAGCTGCCACCAGAGTGGAGAATCCCCAGGGAGAGACAGCCAGAGAAGGGGATCCCTTAATTCTGTAAATGAACACCACATGTATCTCAGGCTAATCCTTTCTTGAACAATATATACAAACACAAGTAGCAAAGTCTGAAAGAATTGAACTGAGACTTGAAGTACAATCCACAGAAGGTGACACAGCTTACAGTCAATTGTCAGGTAAAATAAAAACATCACCACCCCTAAGAATAATATCACAGAACACAGAGTCTACACAATGTAACATTCACAACATCCAGGATACAATCCAAAATTACTCAATATACAAAGAACCAGGAGGATATGACCCATTCTCAAGGGAAAAGACATTTAAGAGGCCAACCCCGAAATGACATAAATGTTGAAATGTTGAGACATTTATAATCAATGAAATAGAGTCCAGAAATAGAACCACACATTTCAATAGGGAAAAGATAACGCTTTTCAACACAAGTTGCTGAAACAACTAGATATTCATATTAAAAAAAAAAGAAACTTGGCCCTTACATCATACAATATACAAAAAATATCATCTCAAAATGGATCACAAACCAAAACAAAAGAGTGAGAACTATGGTATGGCTACTTTGGAAAATAGTTTGGCAGTTCCTCAAAAGGTTAAACATGAGTTACCATATAACCCAGCATCCCTAGGTATAACCCAGGAGAAAACAAAACATATATCCACACAAAAACTAGAACACAAATGCTCATAACAGCATTATTCATAATAGACAAGAAGTAGAAACCACCCAAATGTCCATCAACTTATTTTTTTTAATGTTATTTGGTAATAAAAATGAAGTTCTGAAACATGCTACAACATGAATAAGCCTTGAAAATATTACGCTAAGTGAAAGAAGCCAGTCACACACACACAAAAAAAACACATTTAATTCCATTTATATAAAATGTCCAGGGCTGGCCAGTTATCTCACTCTGCTAGAATGTGGTGCTGTTAAGACCAAGGTCAAAAAGTTGGATACCCATACTGGCTAGCTGCCAAATAAATAGATTAAGTAGGTAGATAAGTAGATGGGTAGATGGATGGATGGATGGATAGATAAAGGTAGATAGATAGATAAAATGTCTAGAATAGGCGAATCTACAGGACAGAAAGTAGATCAGTGGTTGCCTACGGCTGGAGGGGATAGAAGACTTGGAAGATGATGGATACAGGATATGGGGGTTCTTTTTGAGGTGATGAAAATGTTCTAAAATTGATTGTGATGATGAATGCATAACTCTGTGAATACACCAAAAACCATTAAATTGTACACTTTATATGAGTAAATTTATGGTATATAAATCATTCCTCAATAAAGTTATTATTAAAAAATTGCTAAAACTATAAAACTTCTACAAGAAAACATAAAAGATTAGTGTTCTTTGGTTAGGCAGATTTCTTAGAACACAAAAAGCATTATCCATAAATTTAAAAACTGAAACTGATAAATATTTATCATAATTTAAAACTTCTGTTTTTTGGAAGACACTGTTAAAAAAGAATGAAAAGGCAAGCTACAGACTGGGAGAAATATTTACAAAACATCTATCTGATAAAGGACTTATATCCAGAATACATAAGGAACCCTTACAACAAAACAATAAGACAAACAACGCAACTTTTTTAATGGGCAGAACAGTTGAACAGAAACTTCACCAATGAAGATATATCAATGGCTATTAAGTTCACAAAAATCAGCTCATCATCATGAGTCATTAGGTAAATGCAAATTAAAACAGAAAGAAGCCACTATATCCATGAGAATGGCTAGTAGTAAAAAGACTAAAAATATCAAGTGTTCAAGAGGTTAGGGAGCTACTGGAACTCTCCATTGCAGATGAAAATGCAAAAATGATACAGCCACTTTGGAAAACAGTTTGGCAGTTTCTCACATGGTTAAACTTACACTTACCATAAGACACTGCAATTCCACTTCTACATACGTACTCAAGAGAAAAGAAAACATATGTCTACATAAAGACCTGTACATTAATGTTATTTCATGGCAGCTTTAGTCAACAGCCCCAAAGTGGAAGCAACCCGAATATGCATCAGCAACAAATGGATAAACAAATTGTAGTAAATCCATAGGATGGAATCAGCAATTAAAAAGGAACAAATTATTGGTACGTGCAACAACGTGTATCAATCTTAAAAGGACTATAATAACTGAACAAAGCCAGACACAAAAGAGTACATAATCCAAGATTCTACTTATTTGACATTCCAGAAAAGGGAAAAATAGTGACAGGAAGCAGATCAGTGGTTGACAAGGGTAGGGTGATATGACTGACTGCAAAGTGGTATGAGGAAACTTTCTGGGGTGATGAAAATGTTCTATATCTTCATTGTGGTGGTGCTGGCTATGAGACTATGTACTATGTGACTATGTCTATGCACATTTGTCAAAACTCACGAAACTGGACACTTAATGTACTTATTCACATTCATTCACACTTAATGTAGTTAAACTATACTTTAAAAAGTTGATCTTTTTAAAAAAGGACACTTCATGGGCCGGCCTGGTGGCGCACTGGATAGTGCGCCGCTTGGGAAGTGCAGCGGCGCTCCCGCCCGAGGGTTCGGATCCCACATACAGACCGGTTCCCGCTCACTGGCTGAGTGAGGCGCGGGAGCAACACCAAGGGTTGCAATCCCGTTGCCGGTCCCCGGTCCAGTACGGGGGCAACACTGAGGGTTGCAAT